CCACCGCCTTGGTCCCCCCTCCCTGCCTCGTCTCCGAGGCATGGCCTCCCATGTCCTTTTCTCTGGTCTCCCTCGGTCTCTCCCTCCCCTACCTCCGGGGCCTAGCCCTACCTGCGTCCCCTGCGTCGAGGGGCGACAGCGCGCCGCCCCTCACTCCTCCGAGTTTCCTCCGAAAGAGGCTCCGCTACAGACTCTCCACATGGACGTGTGGGGCCCCGCCCGCGTCCGTGGACAGGGGCACGAGCGTTACTTCCTGTTGGTGGTTGATGACTACTCGCGTTACACCACAGTGTTCCCCTTGCGCAGCAAGGGTGACGTCACTGAGGTGTTGATCGACTGGATCCGCGCATCTTGTCTCCAGCTCAGAGAGAGTTTCGGCTCGGACTTTCTTGTTCGGCGTCTGCACTCGGATAGAGGCGGGGAGTTTTCCTCTGCCCGTCTGGGAGCCTTTTGACGTGCACAGGGCATCCGCCAGACCTTCACGCTTCCGGCCTCTCCACAGCAAAATGGGATTGCTGAGTGCCGCATTGGCATGGTCATGGACGTCGCTCGTACGTCCATGATGCATGCGGCTGCCCCCCATTTTCTGTGGCCGTTTGCGGTTCAGTACGCCGCGCATCAGCTCAACCTTCAGCCCCGGGTCTCCTTGCCTGAGACCTCCCCCGCCTTGCGGTGGACGGGGAAGGTTGGCGATGCGTCTGCGTTTCGGGTCTGGGGATCTCGGGCGTTTGTCCGCGACTTGTCTGCGGACAAGCTGTCCCCCCGTGCTGTTCCCTGCGTCTTCCTTGGCTTCCCCCCTGACGCGCCTGGGTGGCAGTTTTACCACCCCACCTCGCGCCGTGTTTTGTCCTCCAAGCACGTCACCTTTGACGAGTCGGTGCCTTACTACCGTCTCTTCCCCTACCGCGCTGCGCCCCTCCCCCTGACGCCGCTCTTCCTTGCACCAGGTCCTCCCTCGGTAGACCCCCTCCCCCCTCAGGGTCCTGCCCCGTCAGGTGTGTCCAAGGTAGACACAGTCGAGCCTGTCGAGGAAGCTGTTGACTTTGGTGCTGCTAGAGGTGCTGAGCCTGCGGGTGCCGGGTCTGGGGGTGCTGAGACTGGGGTAGCTGACCCTGGGGGTGCGGAGTCAGGGGGTGCTGAATCTGGGGGTGCTGAGCCTGGGGGTGCTGGGTTTGGGGGTGCGGAGCCTTGGGGTGCGGAGCCTGGAGGTGCGGAGCCTTGGGGTGCTGAGCCTGGGGGCGCTGGGTCTGCTTGTGTGGCCGCCGGCGGTGCTTCGTCGAAGCGGGAGCCACTCTCTCCACAGGAGCTGCGCGAGTGGTTTGCCCGCCGCTGGAGACGTGCTGCTGAGACTGGGGGTGCTGCTGGGGCTGCTCGAGTTGGCCCTACTGGAGCTGGAGCTGCTGGGGGTGTTGGCGCTAGTATTTCTACTGGCGTTGGTGCGTCTGGGGGTGCTGCTGAGGCTGTTGGAGCTGACGGTCCTACAGGAGTTGGTGCTGCTGGAGCAGGAGCTGCTGGGGGTGTTGGCGCTGGCGATGCTGCTGGCGCTGGTGCTTATGAGGGTGCTGGAGTTGGCGCTGTTGGAGCTCGAGGTACAGTTGGCGTTGGTACTACCGCTGCGGGTACTGGTGCCGTCCTTGCTGGCTCTCGAGGCGCTGAGCGGCCGAGGCCGTACTTCGTTCCGCTCCTGGAGCAGGTTCTTGGTTTCCCTCCCTCTCCTGGTCCTGCTCCTTCCTTAGAGTGTTCACAGCCTATCCAGTCACAGTCACACTTACAGCCCGCCTCCCCTCTACCTGCTCCTTCTCCCTAAACTTGTCCAGCTGGAGGTCTTGCTGAGCGTCATGCGCCCGCGTCTCGTCCTGCGTCGCATGTTCGTGCTGCTCGCACTAGTGGTCGTACTGCGCGTCCGCGTCCTCCTGCGGTCCCCGGCACACACCAGATGGCGCTGCGTCCTTCCACTGCTCCCATGAGTGTCCCGTTGCCGTCTCCTCCAGAGTCCTCTCTTCCTACTCTTGCTGACCCTGAGTCTGACTCCCTTCGTACTGCTTGCACTAGTAGTCGTGCTCCGCGTCCGCGTCCTAGTGCGGTCCCAGGCACACACCAGATGGCACTCCATCCTTCCACTGCTCCTCTGCGTGTCCCATTGCCGTCTGCTCCAGAGTCCTCTCTCCCTGTTCTTGGTGACCCGGAGTCTGACTCTCTTCATGCTGCCAGTCCTACTGTCACGCGTTTCCTGGCCACTGTTGTCACTGACCCTTCCTTTGAGTCCACTGCTGCGTCTGCCTTGGTTGCTGAGCTTGTCGACTTTGCTGCTCGCTGTCTTCAAAACTACGCCGCTAGTCTCGTTGCTGAGTCTGAGTCTGTCTGTCCTCCGTCCGTCGGGGGTGAATGTGCTCTTAGCACGGACGTCCTTGAGGATAGGCAGGAGGAGTTCCAGTGTTTTGCTGCTACTTTGCCTCATCTCATGTCCACGCTGATTGCCCCTGAGGGAGACCCGGATGCACCAGACATCCCGACTCCTCGATTGTACGCTGAGGCGATCTAGGGTCCCTACTCCTCACAGTGGCAGTCAGCCATGGACGCAGAGATGGCTTCCTGGAAGTCCACAGGCACCTACGTCGACAAGGTTCCCCCACCTGGGGCGAACATCGTTAGTGGCATGTGGATTTTCCGGGTGAAGCGGCCTCCGAGTTCTCCGCCTGTCTTCAAGGCGCGTTACGTGGCTCGAGGCTTCAGTCAGCGGCAGGGAGTTGACTACTTCCAGACCTTCTCTCCCACCCCGAAAATGACCACTCTTCGGGTGCTGCTGCACATAGCCGCTCAGCGCGACTACGAGCTTCACTCTCTTGACTTCAGCACTGCTTTTCTGAAGGACAGCCTGCACGAGGAGATCTGGCTGCGCCGCTCACCTGGTTTCACTGGGTCGTTTCCTCTTGGTACCCAGTGGAGCCTCCGGCGGCCAGTCTACGGTCTCCGCCAGGCGCCCCGTGAGTGGCACGACACACTGAGGACTACACTTGCGGCTCTTGGGTTTGCTCCTTCTAGTGCCGACCCGTCGCTGTTTCTTCGCACTAACACCTCTTTGTCGCCGTTCTACATCCTTGTGTATGTCAACGACTTGGTCTTTGCCCACTGCTGACACTGCTGGACTCGTCCACGTGAAGTCCGAGCTGCAGAAGAGACACACATGCACAGACCTGGGTGAAGTGCGCAACTACCTTGGCTTGCAGATCACCAGGGACAGAGCACAGCGCACCATTACTCTGACTCAGTCACACATGGTGCAGTTGGTCCTTCAGCGCTTCGGCTTCACGTACTCCTTGCCTCAGGCCACTCCTTTTCCCACTCGCCACTCGCTCTCAGCTCTGCCTTCGGATGAGTCCGTAGAGCCGAGTGGCCCGTACCTAGAGCTTGTTGGCTGCCTCATGTACCTGATGACCTGCACACGACCTGACCTTGCATACCCTCTTAGCATCTTGGCACGCTATGTTGCTCATGGGAGACACCGACCAGAGCACATGGCTGCAGCAAAGAGGGTGTTGCGCTACGTGTGCAGTACGTCGGGCATGGGGCTAGTGCTTGGAGGGCGACGTCGAGTGGGCCTCACAGGTCACGCAGACGCTTCTTGGGCTGACGATCAGGCTCTGCAGCGGTCGTCACAGGGTTACACCTTCTGCCTTGGCTCCGGCTCAGTTTCGTGGCGGTCTACCCGTTCGTCTTATGTTCTCGGCTCCAGCTCTGAGGCTGAGATCTACGCAGGGGCCATGGCTGCACAGGAGCTACGCTGGCTCACCTACCTGCTGACTGACCTAGGAGAGCCGCCTCGTTCTCCTCCAGTTCTGTACGTAGACAACAAGGCCATGCTAGCCTTGTGTCGGGAGCACAGACTGGAGCACAGAACGAAGCACATTGCTCTCCGCTACTTCCTGGCTCGTGAGCTGTAGCAGCGTGGTCAGCTCTGCCTCACCTACGTGGCCTCTGAGGCCAACACTGCTGATATCTTCGCCAAGGCCTTTCCGCCTTGTGATCATCAACACTTCTGTACTTTGCTAGGTCTTGTGCCTACCTGGCCTCACTTGCTCACTTCTTGATCTTGTTTTGTACTGTACTCTGGCTATACTTGCACTTGCTTGTTTACCTTTCTATATATGATCTTGCATGTGAACTGGCCTTGTGGCCTTGCTCTTGTGCTCGGACTGTATGGTGACTTTGTGATCCACCCTGAGCTTGCTTTGCTTTGCTTGTCTGGTCTTCTGACCTTTTGTTCTCCCCCACTTTGCCTATGGGGGTGTGTCAGAACATTATAGCTTATACATCTGTGTAGGCTGTAGTGGGGTAGCCCATAAGGGGTACAATCCAATTAGGGTTAGTACTTGTACCCAATTGTTTCATAGTTAAATCATTCTCTTGTTCTAAACTTCACACAACGGTGAGTAGTACTGGTTTAAACAAGTATGTGCCCTCCCACATTGAATACCCACGTAGACCCCTCATTGTTCTTTTTGTTGTGTTGTGCAGAGAGGCCCTGGCAGCTAAAGACGCGGCAACTAACGCGAAGGACTTCAACATCGTCGACAAGGTTGTTCGTTCTGTGGCGAGCCTCATCATGAACAGCTCCGTCGTCCACTCTCGCTTTCTCGAGCTCCAACAGGTTCTGCACGCGACGCAGCTGGAGATGCAGGGTATCAAAGACGTGCACTAGCTATCGCGTGGAGACGCCATCGATCGCTTTGTGGCCGTCCTTCCCTTGATGATCGTGTTACTGCATGAGTAGGACAAGGATACGTATCACATGGTGACAAGTTTGAAGTTTCACTTCCTCTTGTACTTCATTGCCGACATCCTCAAGGAGTTGAATGAGCTCAACATAAAATTTCAGAGGCGCGCAGTGAGTTCTGGTAATTGTATATTTGTCAAGCGATCTTTCTTGGACTCGTACAATCGGTTGTGCTAGCATCAAGTACTTCAACTTGTTTCAGGTGGACGTCATTCGAGTGTCAGGGATGGTGGAGAACACATGCGCGAAGCTGACGGCGCGCTACGTGGAGTACGGTGTCAGCTTTGCAGAGGACAACGACCATCTCACTGCGTTCCATGAAAAACGCACGCATCCCTCCCGCCGTGAAGTCAAACTGGAGGGGATGGACAGCAAAGGCAACGCCGTCACTCACACCTTCTTGTTGCACGAGCTGCCAATCCTATGCGTGAAATCACCACCGGGTTTGGAATCGTGTGTGCGACTTGCCACCAAATTTGCGAAGGAAGTGGTTGGCCGCCTCAAGTTCCGGTTTAAGAGCTTGGCGACCTTGATTGGTTCTAAGCTCTTTCTGCCTGACGCCTATCCAGATGGTGCTGCAAAGCGTGATCGCGTCACTAGGGAGTGGTTCCGTTCCCTTCGCACGCTCTTCAATGGCGATAACTGTGCTTTGCCTGGTACGCATCCGCATTGCCGCCAAGCTCTCTACGTGTTGATTTGTAACTGTGGATGTGTACATCGTTGACCACTCTGAGCACTGACTGCTTGTTTCGTTTCATTATGCCTGCTAGGTGTCAGCTGGAAGAAGGCCGAACGGGAACTGCCGCGCTTCACATGGATGATGTACGCCCAATACAAGGATCAGAGTTTCCACGCAGGCCTCAAGAACATGCTACGAAGCAGTGACTGGGAGACGTCGTACTGTCAGAATATCATGTTTCTCTAGTCTGCAGGGGGGTACTCTATAGTGAGTACAACCCTTTTAGGGTTTGCCATATGTATCCCAATGTTTGCTAGTGAACCCTCCCTCTTCTTCATTCCTCAATTCTCACATGCTATCAGAGCATCTACGCTCCTGGCCTGTGGGCCCACCTAACTGCTTCCGCTGCTACTCTGAGTTCGGCACGCCTCGTGGCGTGCCCCTCGCGCTACTCTTAGCGGCCTCGTTGTCGCCCTTCCAGGCCCCTCGCGGCCCCTTCGCGGCCCCGTTGCCGCCCTTCTAGGCCCCTCGCGGCCCCTTCGCGGCCCTGTCGCCGCCCCTTTCGCGGCCCGTCGCCGCCCTTCCAGGCCCCTCGCGGCCCCTTCGCGGCCCCGTCGCCGCCCCTATCGGCCCCGTCGACGCCGCCAGTGGCCCCGTCGCCGACCCTAGCGGCCCCGTCGTCGCTCCTATCGGCCCCGTCGCCGCCGCCAGCGGCCCCGTCGCCGCCGCCAGCGGCCCCATTGCCGAACCTAGCGGCCACGTCGCGGCTCCTATCGGCCACGTCGCCGCAGATAGTGGCCCCGTCGTCGCCGCCAGCGGCCCCGTCGCCGACCCTATCGGCCCCGTCGCCGCCAGCGGCCCCGTCACCGACCCTATCGGCCCCGTCGCCGCCAGCGGCCCCGTCGCCGACCCTAGCGGCCCCGTCGCCGCCCCTATCGGCCCCGTCCCCGCCACTTACGGCCACATCGCCGCCCCTATCGGCCCCGTTGCCGCCTCCAGCGGCCCCGACGCTGCCACTTGCGGCCCCGGCCCCGCCCCGGCCATGCTCCGTCGCCAGCCGCGGCGCACCGGGGGCACGTGCACCGCCCCCCCCCCCCCCCTTTTCCCGTCGCCCGTCGCGGCTCCTTCGGGGGCCACCTGGGGGGGGGGGGGGGGCGAGCGTCGCCCCTTCTGCCGCCTGCTTTGGCGCCCTGGGAGGCCGCGCGTCGCCCCCCCCCCCCCCACCCCCTTCCCCCCCCGTAACCTCCCTACCCGCCATCCCGTCCTGCCCTCTGTTAGGGTTTGGGGGTGGCGAGTAGGGGGTGGCGGGTGTGTGGTCTCCCCTACTCCTCCTCCTCATCTGTCTCCCACTGCTGCAGCTGCCGCTGAGGGGGGTGGGTGTGTGGGAGTCGACGGAGTGGTGCTAGGGGGTGGGGTGTGAGTGAACCTAGGGGTGCAGTAGGAGGTGTGTGAAATGGGGGTGGGATAGTTTAGGGAGGTTGAAAGGGGGTGGCCGCTGTGAAGCCCGCAGCCCCAGTCGCCCGTGAGACCGTTGTGCTAGTCGCCCGTGAGCCCGTTCCGCCAGTCGCCCGTGAGCCCGTTGCTCCAGTCGCCCGTGAGTCCGTTGCTCGTCTGCCGCTACTTTTAGCCGCGGAGCCAGTTACTCCAGTAGCACGTGTGCCAGTTGCTCTAGTTGCCAGTGTGCCAGTTGCTCCAGTTGCCCGTGTGCTAGTTGCTCCAGTTGCGCCGTGTGCCAGCACCTTCAGCTGCCGCCCATGTGCCAGCACCTTCAGCTGCCGCCCACTACCTCCTCTCCTCTCATAGTCCCTCCTTCTCCACACTTGCCCTCTGCGATAGCCTCTAGCTTTTCTTACATTTGTGAACTTTAAACTGTTGCTTCTAGTACTTGTGCTCAGAATGTGTGGTAACATTGTGATCCACCCTTAGCTTGTTCTGCTTTGCTTGTTGTGCTGATTACACCCCACTTTGACTATGGGGGTGTGTCAGAATATTATGTTTCTCTAGTTTGCAGTGGGGTACTCTATAGTGAGTACAACCCTTTTAGGGTTTGCCATATGTATCCCAATGTTTGCTAGTGAACCCTCCCTCTTCTTCATTCCTCAATTCTCACACGTACCCGAGCCTCGTCCGCTTGTGGATGGCCGTCTCTGTGATACCGCTCAGCACAGTGGAGTAAGAGCGTGGTTTCAGTCGCCAAAACGTCAAGTTCTGGCTTCGTGGCAACCTGTGCGATGCCAGACTTGCTGATCTCATGTGTATCTCTCTCCTGCAGTACGAGCCAGACTGGGACGATGTAGTTAAGCTGTGGCGTGGTGCAAGGCAGCAGCGCCCTGCAAAGGAAGTCACTGGTGTGGCTAAGAAGGGCAACAAGCGCAAGGGGCTGGCCACAAAATCAGATGACGTGGCACTAGAGGCAGAGGCAGCCGAGAAGTCATACCCTGCTATTAAGAAGCGTCGCAAGAGGGACAAGGTTCCAGAAAGTGATCGTGAAGATGATGGCCTGGATGTCCGTGCAACGCTAACCCTCACCAGTGATTCTGACATTGAGTAGGTAAGTGATGGTGCTTCAGAGACTCATAGTGTAGGTAGCTTAGAATCTGACCTGACTAATGTAGAATGGTTTCTAGAATCTTGTTGGTAAACATAGAGTAGGCCTTAAAAAAAATTCTGACTTATAAGTTAGGACAAATTCTAATATCTGATGCAAAAGGCGGGCCCTAACTAAATTGTCTGATGCGTCAGGCGGGTTCTGTCACTAGCGAGGACCCTGCATGTTGGCTTGGGGGGTTTTGGGCGCACTGACCCACTACTTAACAAGCCTTTTTATCCCAGTGGCCTGGCTGGGATTCTGACATGGTATCAAAGCAAAGGTCTTAGGTTTCGAATCCCAGTGTGTGCACTTTGGGCATCCCAGTGCGGGGGGGTGTCAGAGGTCCGCTGTGTCAAACTTATATGCTATAGTCTGTGTAGGCTGTAGTGGGGTGGACTATATGGGGTACAACATTTCTAGGTTTTCCTACTTGTACCCACCTCTTTCCTAGTTCATCCATTCCTCATTCTTCACATGGTATAGAGCAGGTTTCCTCGTGGGAACGCTTCTCAGGGCCCACCACCTAACTCGATCTTTTTTCCCTGCCTGAGGCGCGCCCCGTAGGCCGCCCTCACGTCGCGCCCCTCCTAAAGGCTTCACGGCCCCGTCGCCGCCGCTCTAGGCCCTGTCGCCGCCCCTCTAGGCCCCTTGCGGCCCCTTCACGGCCCCGTCGCCGCCGTTCTAGGCCCCGTCGCAACCCCTCTAGGCCCCTCGCGGCCCCTTCGCGGCCCCGTCGCCGCCCCTAGCGGCCCCGTCGCCGCCCCTCTAGGCCCCTCGCGGCCCCTTCGCAGTCCCATCGCCGCCACTTGCGGCCCTGTCGCCGCCCCCTCTAGGCCCCTTACGGCCCCTTTGCGGCCTCGTCGCCGCCCCTCTAGGCCCCTTGCGCCCCCTCTCCGACCCCGTCGCCGCCCCTAGCGGCCCCGTCGCCACCCGTGGAGGCCCCGTCGACGCCCTTCGCGGCCACCTCTCCGCCCTTAGCGGCCCCGTCGCCTCCCATAGCGGCCCCATTGCTGCCTCTACCGGCCCCGTCGCCGCCTCTACCGGCCCCTTCACCGCTAAGCCGCCCAGCAGCTGAGCAACAGAGCCACCAAGCCACCGAGCTGCCCAGCCGCCCAGCAGCTGAGCCGCCTGTGAAGAAACGAGAAATGAAGAAGAGAGGAGGATCTCACTAGCAGCAGTTGGGATACATATAGCAAACCCTAGCAGGGTTGTACTCGCTATAGAGCACCCCACTACAGGCTAGATAATTATAACATTCTGACACACCCCCATAGCCAAAGTGGGGTGTAATCAGCACAATGAGCAAGCAGGCATAGAGCAGGAGTTCACAATAGCGAGCAAAGCTAGAGTCATTCACAAAGGGCAAGTGAGGAGGAGGAGGCGAGACTGTGAGAGGAGAGGAGATAGGAGGCGACGGCTGAAGCTGCAGACGCATGGGCAACAGGAGTCACACTGGCACAGCGGCTACCCGAATAGCGCTCCGGACTACTGGAGTAACTGGCTCCGCGGCTAAGACTAGCGGCAGACGAGCAATGGACCCACGGGCGACTGACACAGCTGGCTACAACTGGGCTACCGGAGCAGCGCCCCGGACTACTGGTGCTGCTGACGACACGACGACAACCTCCGTTCAACCAACCTCCTCCAGCTGCCCCACACCTCTCGACACACACCCCCTGCTCAAACCCTAGCTCCACTCCCATAGCACCCCCCTTACACCCTAAACCGCAGGCTCACACACATCCACCTCCCTCAAAACCCTAGCTCCACTCCCACAGCACCCCCCTTAAACCCTAAACCCCAGGCTCCCACACATCCACCCCCCTCAGCGATAGCTGCAGTAGTGGGAGACGAAGGAGGAGGAGGAGCAGGGGAGACCACACACCCGTCACCCCTTACTCGCCACCCCTAGACCCTAACACAGGGCAGGGCGGGACGGCGGGTAGGGAAGTTATGGGGGGGGGGGGGGGGGGGGGAACGCGCGGTTTCCCAGGGCGCCAAAACAGGCGGCAGAAGGGGCGATGCTCGCCCCCCTCCCCCAGGTCCCCGAAGGAGCCGCGACAGGCGACGAGAAAAGGGGGGGGGGGGGGGGGGGGGGGGGTGCGCGTGCCCCTGGTGCGCCGCGGCTGGCGACGAGAAAAGGGGGGGGGGCGGTGCACGTGCCCCCGGTGTGCCGCGGCTGGCGACGGGGCATGGCCGAGGCGGGGCCGGGGCAGGGTCGAGGAGGGGCCGAAAGGGGCGGCGACGGGGCCGCAAGTGGCGGCGACGGAGCCGTTAGAGGCGGCGACGGGGCCGATAGGGGCGGCGACGGGGGCCGCTAGGGTCGGCAACGGGGGCCGCTGGCGGCGACGGGGCCGCTAGGGTTGGCGACGGGGCCGCTGGCGGCGGCGACGGGGCCGATAGGGGCGGCGACGGGGCCGTTAGGGGCGGCGACGGGGCCGATAGGGGCGGCGACGGGGCCGCGAAGGGGCCGCGAGGGGCCTGAGAGGTCGGCGACGGGGCCGCTGGGCGGCGGCGACGGGGCCGATAGGGGCGGCGACGGGGCCGATAGGGGCGGCGACGGGGCCGTTAGGGGCGGCGACGGGGCGATAGGGGCGGCGACGGGGCCGCGAAGGGGCCGCGAGGGGCCTGAGAGGTCAGCGACGGGGCCGCTTGGCGGCGGCGACGGGGCCGATAGGGGCGGCGACGGGGCCGATAGGGGCGGCGACGGGGCCGCGAAGGGGCCGCGAGGGGCCTGGAAGGGCGGCAACGTGCCGCGAAGGGGCCGCGAGGGGCCTGAAAGGGGCGACAACGGGGCCGCGAAGGGGCCGCGAGGGGCCGAGAAGGGCGGCGTCGGGGCCGCGGGGGGTGGCGACGGGGCACTAAGGGTCGCGCGAGGGGCACGCCACGGGGCATGTAGTGCACAGAGTAGCAGCGGAAGCAGTTAGGTGGGCCCACAGGCCAGGACCGTAGATGCTCTGATAGCATGTGAAACGAGAATGAAGAAGAGAGGAGGATCTCACTAGCAGCAGCTGGGATACATATCGCAAACCCTAACAGGGTTGTACTCGCTATAGAGCACCCCTCTACATGCTAGATAATTATAACATTCTGACACCGCCGAGCCGCCGAGCCGCCCAGCAACCGAGCCGCCGAGCCGCCCCAGCAGCCGAGCCGCAGAGCCGCCCCAACAACCGAGCCGCCGAGCCGCCCTGCCGTTGGGCCGTTACTGTTCCTACCGGCGCGCCCCGGCCCTACTTGCTCGGACTGGTGAGATCACTCCCTGCTAGGCCACTTCAGTCATGGCTACCCCCAGTGTCCTTACCTTTGATGCTCAAGGTCGTGCTGTTGACTTGAGGTCTGGGTCGGTGACCTCCAGCTCTTCCTACAGTGCGATAGTGCAGACGGACTCTCCCTTTTTGATCTCACCTCTAGTGCCTCTCCTGCCCCGCCTGCCGATGCTGACAGCACTGTTCGCTCACAGTGGGCCACACGCGATGCTGCTGCCCGTCTTGCTGTACGTCGCCACTTACCGACCACTGAGCGTGCGCACTTTAGCCAGTACAAGAGTGCTAAGACCTTGTACGACGCTGTAGTTGCACGCTACTCTTCCCCTGCCACTGCTACGCTTAGCCGCCTCATGCTGCCGTACCTGTTCCCTGACCTTGCTGCCTTTCCCACAGTCGCTGACCTCATTACGCACCTTCGCACTAGCGACACTCGCTACCGCGCTGCGCTTCCTGCTGAATTTTGTGCCAAGAACCCTCCCCCCATGTACATCACCCTCTACTACATAGTCACCCGGCTCCCTGACTCCCTTCGCTTAGTCAGGGACCACTTCCTCTCAGTTT